TAGGTGAATTTCCGCACATTCTACGGATTTCAATGTGTGTGATGAGATTAAAAATTATAATTTATTATTATAAATTTGTAATAATGATGTCTACGTATGTGTTATGTTATGATTGTTGGATGACTCAATAACCCAGATATATTTTGTAAGAATGAAAACTATAATTTACTATTTTAATGTTGTGGTAGTGATGTTTTAGTATATGTTATATTATGAATTCTCCCTTTTTATACACAAATTTATGTTGGCACTTATTTATATTTGGTGTTTCTGTGTCTATGTTAGTTGTTTATATGGTTCATAAATTTTCACTTGATATTTAATAAAAGACCATAGAATAGAAATCTATGATATTTAAAAATCACATGTTCATCTTATTTTCTTTGTACAAAATAGAAAATTGAATAATCTACTAGGAGTCGGTCGGTTCATATATGACAAAATATCTTCATACATGAGTTCATATTATACCAACATCAATCAAATTAGGAACAATTGCAAAAATATCATTTTAGGGGTGTACATTTACAAGAATGACATTTAAAAGTATCTATTTGTAAAAATGTCACTAATTATAAATTTTTAGAATCTAAATCTTAAAATTCTAAACCCTAAAAACTGTTTGTCACACAAATTAATTGTTTTTTCAAAGATTTAACAATTCCGCAAAAAATCACTAAAAATTCAGTAAATTCTGCAATCCAGCAGAAATTATGCGGTTACCATTTACACCCTTAATATTTTCTTAATTTGTATATAGAATCTTTAAAAATCAAGTAATGGCAATTTTGTTTTTCAATTAAGTTTCTTTTTCTTTTGAAGTTGATAACCAAATTAATGAAGAGGTTATAATGAAAAACACACATGTTCAGATATTTCATCGTTCGTAATGATAATTTGTTTTTTGTTTTGTTTTTTGTGGACTGTTAATTAGTTGCTTTGTCACTTTCATAATTATTTAATGTGTGAAAAATAATTTTACTGCTTTTCACTAGATACACTCAAACGTTATCACTGTCTTCCCTAAATCTCTCAACTACCGAATGATCTATCTGTAGATTCTAGTCCATTTCGTGTACATATATACATAAATAAGCACAAATATCAAAAGATTCGTATACGTACCAAACTCGTTACATAGATCCTTCCATCATGTATAAACCAACATTTGCAGATTTCGTGAATGTTGATCTTTATGATGGAAGGAAAAAAAAATCCTTCCAATAGATAAATCAACATCCACAAAATCCGCAAAGGATGGTTTATACATCTCCTCTTCCTATGAAGTAAATCATGATTTCATTAATGTTTGAATTTGAAACTCAAATGAATAATGTATATAGAAAGTAATATGAGGCATAGAGAGATCAGAGAACGTACCAGAATCTTAATTAGGCTTATGATTACTGGAAGTGTCTTTGAAGACCCCTAAAGAATACATAAGTCTCTTAGTGATTTGGAAGAATACACTCAGGTGTTCTTTACGTCTTCAAAGACATAAACAGAGGATTCTCTTGAATCTCTAAAAGATTCAAACTTTTGAGACCAAACAACTCCTCAGGAATGTTACCAGTCAGATTCTTCATACCAAGACAGAGATGCTCGGGAACTTTGAGAGAGAGATCAAGAGAGAGGTGTTGCAATCAAGTTAAACACATTTCATTGCTTATCTATTGGAAATTAAATGTACATATTCAATTTGAGAGGTGTTCACTGACTTGACTGACAGCTAGACTGAAATCACTTTTATTAGTGGTTCAACAACCATATTTAAATCTCAATCTACTTAATTTGTTTCTCTATTGCTCATAATTAATGTTAAGAGCCAAACTGCATTTACCATGGACAGCGACATCGTATTTTCGGTAAGTCGTAGAGCATGCATGTGATAAATATAAAATTAAAGCATTATATTTGTGTGTGTATAATGCATTTAAAATGCTTGACGATGAGGAACAATAATTTACCATCATCTATTCTCTACTTCTCCATAGACATTCATTTCTCTCCCTGTCTCCACTTATGCATGAATAAGCATAGATGAATTCATTTGATATATAGCATTTTATTTCTCAAGGCATGTACACTAATTAAGGTGGTACATACAGTAAAACGGACTAAACTAATTTATTCAATCTCCATTGTGAAATATTAGACATGGTTTGAGAGCAGTGGCGGACACCCACGTTCACTTGAACGAGGTCACATGACCTAATTATAATGCTCGATATTAGTTCGTTAATTTGGATTAGATGATTGAAAATTCTATCATTGACCCTCTTATGTGAGTTCGAAATCAAAAACAACTTTTGCTAATAAGTGAATTTTGAAAGAAAATGGTTTTGTCTAAGAGACCTTTGGAATCAAGAAGTAAAATCTGATCTATATAGAATATTGGCAACAACAGGCAAGTAAACTCATCTTATGTACATTCTCTAAGAATAAGGTTTCAGAAGTCAGAGTAAGTAAAGCTTGATTCTTGAAGTACAAGCAAACATTTAGAGCATTCACATTGTGTACTTAAACCCTAACCTTCATTTTGGTTTAGCCAATCAAACTCACTCTCTGGGTCTGGAAGTACTTTAGATTCCTTAGCTGCCACTCCTCTCTCGAGACGAACATTAATTCTCCACAACACAATCTTACTCTCCATTTTCATTCCTTTGATTTCATTAAGTCTCCAAAGCATACCCTTTACGAATTTGTATTCGTTTGAACTATACCATACCATATCTTTCATCACAATGCTTTCCACATCTCTGAAAGCTCTCCTCACAAGTCCAACTTCCATTTCTCTTTCAACAAGCTTTCTCACTGAATCTATCATCTTATAAGCAATCTCATGAACCGATTCTCCGTGATCCTCGGCCTCTATCAAGTGAATGATCGCACAGAACGCACCCGTAAASGCCAAAACCCATCCACTGTTATCTACCAATACCTCACTTGGTGGTGGGYTTAGCCTTGAGCTTATCTCAGGGAGAAGTTTCTCCATCACAGGAACCACAAACCCTTCCTCGTCAAGCGGCATTCTTAAGCAACAGAAGATATAAACCGCTCTCTGAAACTCTGTTTTGCTCTGCGATACAATGTAATCGCGTAGACCCAACCATGGCTCTCTTAGGGAGAACATCTCATCCGCAACAAGGTACACAACCTCACCAATTATTTTGAACATACTCTCAGAGATTCCTTCTTTCGTAAGCCAAGAAACGAGCAATGTCTGGAGTTTTCTCATCAAAGGAACATCGGTTTTCGCTTTCTTCGGATTATCATCAGACAGTAAGAAGTTTAGCCGTCTGATTGCCATATCTTTAAACCTCTCTTCCTGATCAACCGAGGCAAAAATTTCCACGATTTGAACCAACGATAAAGTGTTCAAATGTTTGAAATAAACACGATCAAGATCTTCATTGATGTTAGCACGAATAAACCGATTGATCCTCGTCGTAACCTCCTTGACCTTTCTTCCGAGTTCTCTGATCTGGCTCATGAAAGCTGACACATAAAAGGCATTGATCCTTACTGTAACCATACAAATCCCTATCTCTTAACAAGAACCTCTCAAGATTCTCAAGCCCTTGTACCACAAACTCTACCATTCCCTTATTCACTAACGCTTTCACTGACCTCGCAAGAACCGTCACAGTAAGGTTAATCA